ATAACATGGTTTCTGTCTGTCGCCACGCGGGCTGGGCAGCCGGCCGAAACAACGGGCAGACTGCACTGCAAGTGCTTCGACTTCTCCGGCGAAAGCAAGAAGGGCAGGCTTCGGCTGGAGGATTTTGTGCCCGGAGTGGCCTTAAGTGCATTTGAGCCCAATCTGGTCTCTAGCAGCCGTGGATTTGGGCAGCCCTTTACTCTGAAGCAATCACTAGTTGTGGGACTTGAGCCGCGATTTACTGAGCGTCCTTCTGTGGCCTGGGGGATTCAGGAGTTGGGCCAAGCAGTGCCATCTGGCTTCGAAAATCCCCTGTGGTATTTTTGTTTGAGGAAGCCCAGCTCTGTGCTGCGCTCCTGAGAAGGGCAGTGCCCTGGCGCCGACCCCTCGGGCAGCATCCGCCCAGGGCATCCTCCTGTCCTGTGCTGGACGTGGCAGACGGGACCTGGTGCCCATGATCTGTAGGCCACATCTTGTCCCCTTGCTTGCCCTGGGGAAGAAGGCATTCACCCAAGCCAGTCCGCTCGGGTAGGGCATTCCTCTCCCGGGGGGCCATTCACAGCTGACTCCAAGGGGAAGTTTTTCTATCCCACGCAGCCCCGGCGTGGGGGAGAAGGTTGCGCCTGTTTGTTGGCGACAGGTTTTATTTTTAAAGCTGTCACTTCCAGGCCTGAACTAAAACCCTCCGGACTTCCCTCCAGAGATGTTATTTTTATGACACCGGGCCCATTCTCTTTGCACCTATGATGCGTAGGCACGAGAGGGGGGCGTGAATCACAACCTTTCCGAGCCGGTTGTATTCTTCGTTAGCCACGACTCCGAGTGCAAAGCAGGGTAGGGCCTGAAGCAGGGGTCTCCGTCGAGACAGAAAGGGTCCCCAAGCCCCAGAGAGCCCTGGCAAAGGATGCAAACGCCCAGGTAAAGGGAGCAGGGTAAGGGGAGGATGCAAACTCCCAGGTAAAGGGAAGCAGATGGGGGCAGAGGGATGACTGATTTCCTCCAGGAAGGGGCTGCTTGCTTCTGCAGCCAGGCAGTTGCCATGCTGGCCTCCAGCCCAGGGTCAGAGGAGATGGAGCACAGCGTCCTGGGCTGAAGTGGAGCAAAGCGGGGAGTAGGTTGTGCCAGTGCAGGGCTGTGGGAGGGGTGGCAGGGACAAAGCACAATTCAGCCCCTGTTCTGCTGCTGGGACACGGGCGCCGCTCCCGAAGGAATGGAGTGGGAGACGGGGCCGAGATCACGCGCTCGCGTCAACCCCGCGGCGCGGCTCTCGGGGCCTGTTCGGCCAAAGGCTTTTGCAGCCGGTTCTTGCTCTCTGCTTGATGCGTTCCCCACCTGGGCACATGCCGTGCGTTTCCTGTAGGACAAACCAGAGACATTTGAGTCCTGACAGGGCGAGATGATGATACCCAGTCCTGGGGGATGCTCTGATTTAGCAGCCAGAGGCAGGAGGAGATCGAATGGCTGGAAGTTGATGTCAGCAAAGCTGGCTCCGGCACCGAGGGGTCGGCCCAGCAGCGTGTCGGGAAGGCACATGCCCGCAGGCGTGGGGAGAGCCAGTGGTCAGCCGTATTGCCCCGTCAGCAGCCCTGGGGCCAGGGGAGGGAGCATGCCGCAAGCTAGCTGGCAGGAGCCTGCTTTGATGTCCCCTTTGCCCTCTTTCTTCCTTGTCCCCTCAGGCTCCATTCTGCGGCGCTGGAAAAGGAACTGGTTTGTCCTGTGGCTGGATGGCAGCCTGGTGTACTACCAGGACGAGACGCAGCGGGACATGGGGGGAAGGGTCCACATCAAGTTCAACTGCCGGGGTGTCAAGACGGGCCGCGAATGCAGAGGTGAGCTGGCTCCTCCGGGGCTGACACTGTCAGGACTGGGAGGTGTGACCGTCCGGGGGGTGTCCGACGCGTGCTGGCTGTCTGCGTTGAGTGGGATCACTCCTAGCACAGGGGACTTGGTCTAGTACAGGGCTGAACTTCCGACTGGTCCTCAGTGAGTACCGCTCTCAGCTCCTCCATAGACCACGCTGCGCTTTACAGAAGACGTAAATGCCATTATTCTCTATTGCACAGATGGGGAAACTGAGGCACGGAGCAATGACACCCCCCCCAATCCATGACAACCTCCTGCCCCTCCCAACCCAAGGGGAGCTGAGTCCTTTGGGCGCTTCTAAACTTTAGAGTCTTAAACGGGACAGCTGTGTGTTGTCTCCAGTACCCAAATTTCTCTCTCAATGTCCTGATGCCCATCATGCTGGGATCATCTGATCCCAGCAGTCTTTCCCGCCCACATGCAGGGGCGCTGGACCTGATGATCTGTAAGGTCCCTTCCAGTCCCTAACGACTATGAAACTATAAATCTCTGCCTGCCTTTGCCTCCTTGTCCTCTTTGGGACACAAGGACCATTCTGGATGGGTGAGGCCAGGCTGCCTCCCTGCACCTCTTTCCTGGAAAGGCCTTTCATGAAACAACAAACGGGACTTCACCGTTGCTTGTTGATGTCTGATGTTAACTGTTCCACGTATCAGATCTTGGCAGAGCACAATCAAACCCAAGCCGATGTTTTAGACCTCAGTTCCCCCCACCCCCAAATCCATTTTCTTTTCTCTAAAACTCCATGTTTACTGACACCGCAGTTGTCCCCTAAACTCATGCTATGAAAATGAAGCGGCAATTAGTCTGCTGGGGGGATTGACACTAAGCTCGTTACCCTGACGACTAAATTAGATGCCGTTTATGTCTTGAGATGAGGGTTTCCACCTGCGAAGTACACAAAGCAGTGCTTGGTCCTTGTGTTGATGGCGATAATGACTGGTTTGGGACCTGAACTCCTTGTTGATAATAGATGCTACTTGAATCAATAAAGGTGGCTGAGCGTACGTATAAGAGGACCACATAATGAATGCTTTTCTAGAGCATGTCCAGGGCAGTTGAACGTACTCTGCAGGGGCTGCGGATCCTGTTTGCTCTTGGATGAAAAGACAGTGTCTCTTCCCATTGTATTGTGGTTCACATGATTCAATATGTGGTACCACAGTCCTGAGTCATCAGTTGTATTCCCCCTCTGGTAAGCGAAACAAATGGGATACAGAGCTCAAGCAGAACCAGCTTGTATGGTACAAAGACCCTTTCTTGGGCTTCTAGCGGCAGTACAGACGCTGCGTTTCTGTACAGTCCTCTGCAGGTCTCAAGGCACTTTGCCACGGAGAAGCAGATTTCCTTCTGTAGCTCAGGCTATGGGTCAATTCCATTTTAAAACTCCGGTTTTGTTCTTACCGAACCTTTTGGCTTGGAAAAAAACATCAGGTTGGCCTTAAAGCTGCAAGAATCACTCAGAGTAATGGAGATCTCAGCCATAATTTAAGAAATATACTTCATAGTGGGCTTGAGTGATAGGTCATAAAAGAGAAACTTGACTTCGTTTCTTGTCACCTTCTTGCTCGCGACGGTTTGCTGTTTCCCTGTCCTGCTTCCAGAACTCAATCTCCTTGCAGAGCTCATGTGGCCCCAGTTAACAAAGCTGGACTGCAATGCATCTGTCTGTCTTTAAAACTTAAAATACAGTGGGCGCTTCTACCTATGCATTCATGCTCCTTAGTTACTGCGCATTAAGTTTAGTGCCTGGAATAACAGGTACTAACTCACTGTGCAGTTACTGGTGCTACTGCGCAGTAGTGCTAGCATGCACCATTTAGTGATGCTAATGCACAGTAGACTAATTCTGCTGCACATTAGCACATTATCACGGCTTTTGCCCCGACATGCTAGTGCGTGGTAGAATCAGTCTACTCCGCATTTAGCGTCTTGTATAGACACACCCAGTATCTCCATTTTCTCTCCCTTGCTTCCTCCCTTCTTCCCTTCCTTCCAGCTCAGTAGCAACAATGGGGCCAAGTGTAGTCTTGCCACTGATTTAGTTTCTATGAGCTAATGTTTTCCAAGTGTTAACCGCAATTCTTTGGCAGGTATCTACAGCACCTGGGTTTCTAAGGGGATCATCTATCCAAGGTATTGTTCAGGTCCAGGCCTACTTAGCTTCCAAGATTAGACAAAATTGGGTGCATCCATTCCAACATAGCTACCCTTATTTTCTCATTACTTAGAGTAAATTGGAGCCACAAGACCCTACAGTAATACAAACCACTCCACCACATGCATCCAAGTCAGAGCCACTGAAAAATCAATATGTATATGTGCTTACAAATGACAGATGCGGCAAAGACACAGTTGCAAATGCGTCCTCCAAACTTCTGCTGACAATCGCTGATATTTCCCTATTGACATTCATTGCAAACAAAGCTATGCGACATTTTTGGGAGAAAAGATAGCAATAAAGTTAAAATACAAAAAGAGATGTTAAAAATGGTTTCCAGCTATCTGTAGGTCAAAGTTAGGGCTATTGCACAGTATTGAAAAGCTTTTTTTGGGGGGAAGTTGTTAATACTGTGTGGGGCAGTCAGATTCAAGAGGCCCCTCATTATTTTCTTCCTTGTTCTTTAGTACTTGGCTCATGCAAATACATAGGCTAGGTCTCTGGTTTTGAGGGGTGCAGACCACGTTTTTGGTCCTTTAGCAACTGATGTTTGTTGGCCTGATTAGCCATGTGTCTGCTGCCTGATTATATGGCTTTAAGGTTCAGTGGGGAAACAGGCAGCAGGAGAAAAATGGCTCCAGGTAGCCATCTCTTGGCAAGTACTTATGAGTTGGTAGGGAACAAAGGCAGGATCATTAACTTTATTGATTTTTAGTCTACAACCAGTCTACAAGACTGATTTGGAGCATAAATAGAGGGGAACAAAGAACCCAGCATGGTTTGAAGAGGTACGATGCTGCGTCAGAGGAAGGGGGAGACGTTTAGGGAGACCAGGTGGAAATGAGGCCTAGATAGAGAAGCCCATTGTGGGGCATCTGAAGAGGTTGAGCCTGCTTAGGTCACCATCATGGGATGGAAGGACTCAAGAGACAAGTGTGCATGCTCTTTTGGGGCTTTCCCCCCTTTTAATATTTTGAACCTATATAAACAGCGCTTGTGCTGTATTTGATCACTGTAAACCACTGGTCAGAGGCTCCGGAAGGAAAGAAATGTAGGTACCCACGCTGTAGGTGGACCTGCTGAGTAGGAACAGCTGTCCCATGGCGTATGTCAGCCTCAGGCTAATGTGAGTGGGGGGATTGTTGCATTCCACCTTGAAAGAGAGAAAAAGAAAAAGGCATGACGTCTGGCGCCTGAGGCCGGCCTGGCTGCTGTGCCCCTCTCCATGGGACATCCCTCACGACCCTTGATGCTTTTGGTACACTTCCATAATACCGTGAGTGTTAAGGAGGGCAAATGCTCCGCATCTTGCATCACCTTTGCCCAGGAGATCACCGTCTAACAGTTCCCATCGTGGCTACAAATACGCAGTGCCCAGGCACCGTGGTGAGCTGTGTAATAGAAACGTGGGCATTGATGAACTAGGAGAATATTAAAGAGCAGTAGGTTACTTTCATGAGCAACCTACTTACAGAGCCAATTCCCAGGGCACAAGATAGTCCAGGAAGGGGAAGACCGTATTTGCCAAGCGGGTTAGTCTCACTGTGCCTGTACTTGCTGGAGCTCATGCAGCGTTCCTAAGGCACACCACGGTGGTGACGGCTGACCCGACTTGTCTCCTGGGGGCTCCTGCATTTCTGCTTACCTCTGGAGTGTGAAGATGAAGAGCCCAGCAAGTTATCCTTCGGCAACTCTGGTTCTCTGTGCTACTGCTCGCTTGACTCATGCTTGGGCTCTCTCTCAGGGAGTGTTGATGGCTTCTTCCTTCTCCAGGGGCTAGATCAGGGGACTGGGAGTCAGCACCCCTGGAGCTCAATTAGTCTATCGTTTTGCTTGCAGCATCTTCCCATTGGCTTCAGGTAGCAGCATGCAGGGCACCCTCAGGATGATGAGCCATAAGGATTCTGCCACAGGCTTCCTGCTGTACCTTGAGCAAGTCATTTAGTCCCCAGGGCCTCAGCTCCCCTTCTGTAGCCTAGTAATAGGAGCGCCTCTGCCCTGTACAGGTTGGCTGTGAGAGTCCATCATTTACCTTTGCAAATTTGCTTCAAGATTCACAGAGGAAAGTGGCTACAGAAGTGCAAGCCCTCCTGTGGCTAGGTTGCTGCTCCCACAGCAGGGCTGGGGGGGTGGGGGGGCTGTGGCTTGGGAGTGAGGGGCAATGGCAGGGGCATATCAGGGCTGCTCAGTGCCACAAAGTGCGGGGATGGGACATGTGCAGCTGGACCCACGTCCTGGCGAGCGAAGGGGCCAGGGAGAGCCCTGATTTCCCACGATAAAAAATCCAAAATCAAACACCAACATTTATAGGTAACTAGAATGCATTTTCCTGTAGTGATTGAGGCACTGGCAGGTTTCCAAAAAGCTTTAAAATTGTAAATGTATAAATAAAACATTGTGTTCAACTGATATATTATACACACACACACACATATACATATATACGTATGTGTGTGTATGTATATGTGTGTGTGTCTGTGTATTTATATATGTATGTGTATATATATATGTATGTGTGTATATATGTATGTATGTATGTGTATGTGTGTATATGTATATGTACGTATGTGTGTGTATATATATATTTATATATATATACATACACACACACACACACACACATACATATATATATAGTGCGGCATTTCATTTTAATCATGGATTTGGGGGGGTTTAATCAGAGAATTTGCAGTTTTTAAACAGAAAATCAGGATCCCTGCTTCTCATTCCAAGGGATCATCTGTTATGTGGCAATAAGGATCCAAACTGTGTTGAATCTCTACCCATCCCCAGCTCTTGGCTGTT